CCCTCTACTTTTTACAAATATTTTTTTAATGCGTTTATATTTTAGGGATTTATTACTATCATATCGGACAACAATTTACCAAAGTATGAAGCCAATCCCAGAACATTGACTTTTTGGGCTGGGGCGATTGAAAAAGAATCTCTCATATAAGAGATGTATATGACATGATATATTTTTTTGGGGGATTTCATAGACTAGCTCACATGTGCTCAGAAGAGTACTTGATGTTTTAAGCGCCCCTAACTTCATAAAAAATGTATTTTCAATGTATAATCTAACCGGATTGTGAAATTTTAAACACAGAAAAAGAAAAATAACCTATACATTAAAGCCTCATTAATATTATTTATAATATAATTAAAAGTTAATGAATAATTGTTGCTAATTAGTCGGGGCTTCATCTAACCCTTTTAAATTACGACACTGTCCACGTCGAATTTTTCTTAACTTGACTACTAAATATTGAAAAAAAGAGGTCATATATTGTTAAAGAGACTTCTATTAAATAAGAAATTTCGTCTTCTTCTCGTTTATTCCCCACTTTAGTAGTCAATTTACTAAAAATACATATGAGTTTAACAAATAGTGATACTTAAATTTTCTCCGTGTAAAATTCTCTGAAGAAGTTGACCAATACACTCCTGGGTATCCGGATGTACGTTGGAGTTGTCTTAAAAACTCGATTATTTGGTTGAAACGAAAATTCCCTGAAGAAGTTGTGCAATTGACTCCTAGTCATCATGATGTACGTTAGAGTCATCCTGGAGTATCGATTATTTGAGTACAGTTTAAATTCCCTAGAGAAGTTGTCCAATTGACTCCTAGTAATCATGATGTACGTTGGAGTCATCCTGGAGTATCGATTATTTGATTACAGCTAAAATTCTCTGGAGAAGTTGTCCAACTGACTCCTAGTCATTATGATGTACGTTGGAGTCATCCTGGAGTATCGATTGTTTTATTACAGCTAAAATTCTCTGGAGAAGTTGTCCAATTGACTCCTAGTCATCATGATGTACGTTGGAGTCATCCTGGAGTATCGATTGTTTTATTACAACTAAAATTCCCTGAAGAAGTTGTCCAATTGACTCCTAGTCATCATGATGTTCGTTGGAGTCATCCTGGAGTATCGATTGTTTTATTACAGCTAAAATTCCCTGAAGAAGTTGTCCAATTGACTCCTAGTCATTATGATGTACGTTAGAGTCATCCTGGAGTATTGATTATTTGATTACAGCTAAAATTCCCTGAAGAAGTTGTCCAATTGACTCCTAGTCATCATGATGTACGTTGGAGTCATCCTGGAGTATCGATTGTTTGATTACAGCTAAAATTCCCCAGAGAAGTTGTACAATTGACTCCTAGTCATCATGATGTACGTTGGAGACATCCTGGAGTATCGATTATTTGATTACAGATAAAATTCCCTGGAGAAGTTGCCCAATTGACACCTGGGTATCTGGATGTACGTTGGAGTTGTCATAGAAACTCGATTATTTGGTTAAAACGAAAATTCCCTGAAGAAGTTGTCCAATTGACTCCTAGTCATCATGTTGTTCGTTGGAGTCATCCTGGAGTATCGACTGTTTGATTACAGCTAAAATTCCCTGGAGAAGTGTTCCAATTGATTCCTAGTCATCATGATGAACGTTGGAGTCATCCTGGAGTATTGATGGTTTGATTACAGCTAAACTTCCCTGAAGAAGTTGTCCAATTGACTCCTGGATATCTGGATGTACGTTGGAGTCATCCCGGAGTATCACTTACTTGATTGAAACGAAAATTACATGAATTCTGGGAAAAAACCAAAAATTTTCCGGGAATGTTCTCAGAATGTTCTGGTAACTACTCCCAGAGTCACTTTGCAAAAATTCCGGGAACCTTTTCACGTGGGGGAATATACATAAATCTAACTTAGACATTATAATTAGAAATGATGCCATAATTTGTGCTTAAATCCTTAAACCGTACACTTTATGACCCATATACGCAAGATTAAATTTTAAATTAAAATTTTAAAAAATTTAATTTTGAAAAAAATTACTGAAAACCCTCAAAAATACGGGTTTTACTCAAAATCCTGACGTGATACTCAATTTTGGAACCCGGGATCGTCTTCAGCACAGAAAAATATATTGGAAACCACTCTGATATCTAAAAAAAACCTTGTAGACCTGTGTATCATTTTGTTATACCCTTAATAAAATCGAAAAATAAATTGATACCTTTAAACAACAAAAATTTCACACTGAAAAAAAAAGGTTTTACTACTTTTTAACTACTCTGAGTAGTACAATAGATCTTCAACTGAATTTAAACGGTTCTGTCAACTATATAAAAATAGTTAAACCAATTAAAAATGTAATTGGTAGAATGATATTTTGTGATTCTATTAACTCAATTTAAAAATGTTAAAACAACTCAAGATGTAAGTAGTAGATTTTACTACTTAAAGTGGTTCAATAGGCTTTAAGAACATTTTTTTGGTACATTTAATAAATATTTTGCAATTGAAACTACTACTTTAAGTATTAGATTTTACTACTTAAAATAGGAAAATAAAATTATTTTTTATTTATAATTGTTTATTATCAGTAGAATTGACTTTTTCATCCTCTCTCCTATACTGACGCTTATTTTATTCCCTAACAGAGAAAATTTCTAACCGACGGTAATTGAACCCTCGACCCTAATGCTCGCAATCCGATACCTTAACCGACTAACCACGCAGGCTCGCTACGACAGTCTGCAAACTACTCGAAGACTACTTTCTGCTTGTCCAATTGGTAATTTAACTATTTAAAGTAGTCATTTTTACTCGAGGGGGAATTTACTAGTTAAAAACGTGTACACTTGACTACCGGTATTACACCTCATATTACCTTTATTACTTAAGTATTACACGTTATTACAGAGTATTACACATTATTACAGAGATATTACATGGTTTTTTGCGTTATTACAGCACTGTAATAACGCATTATTACACGGTATTACACGTTATTACACAAGTATTACAGGAAGAGTGTACACTTGACTACCTGAGTAAATTCCCCCTCGTTTTTACTACTTTTATTATTTGCTATAACTATCCTTTTTAAGTTTTGACTTGTAAATTTTCCATCTTTTAATTATATTATAAGTTGTTTAATTGCATAGTGCAGTAAAATCTACTACTTAAAGTGATAGTTTTAATTGCAAAGGATTTTTTAATTCTACGACATGAATGTTCTTAAAGCCTATTGAACCACATTAAGTAGTAAAAGCTACTACTGAAAGTAGTAGTTTTAATTGGAAACGATTTGTAAATTTTACTTCAAAAACGTTTTTCAAGCTTATTGAATTAATTAAAATAGTAAATAATTACTACTCAAAGTAGTAGTTTTAATCACAAAGGATTTGTTAATTCTACAACAAAAATATTCTTAAAGCCTATTGTACCACTTTGAGTAGTAAAATCTACTACTTAAAGTAGTAATTTTAACTGGAAACGATTTGAAAATTCTACATAAAAAATCTTTTTTAAGTTTATCGAATTAATTAAAATAGTAAAAATCTACTACTTAAAGTAGTAGTTTTAATTACAGACGACTTGTTAATTCTACAACAAGAATTTTATTGAAGCCTATAAAATCATAGAAATTAATAAAAAATTGACTACTCAAAAAGCAATTACATTAATTAAAAAAAGCAATTCCTTTTACTACATTTCATATAACTGGTAAATAGTAGTTGGATTTACTACTCTTCAAATTTTGAGTTGACTACAATTCCACTTGTTTTTACTACCTTAAGAAAATTAATTTTACTACCAACCTGTAGTTGTACTTTAACTACATATTTACGTAAAATCAACTATTACTTATTAACTTCTTAAAAATAGTTACATTAACTACATGAACATGATTAGATTAACTAATAACACAGAAAAAAAGGTGGGTAAAAAGTTGTAAAGATAGAGGATAAAAGTCGTTAGGATACAGGGTAAAGGATAAATTTGTGATGGATAAAAATGTTACTAAAATATTACTAGAAAAATGGATGTCATATTTGAGTAAACTGTCTAATTTTAATAAAAATATTAGTAATTTTACACTTAACTTATTAAATCCACAAATTTTATATAAATAAGTAATTGCACGTGGAAATATTTTTCCTATAATTATTGTCTATTAATAAAAATATCTTTGACTAATACAACTGACAGCTGACGACAGTACGTAAATAATCAGAACTGGGAAATTACAACTCAACGTCTGTATTGTTGCACGAAAACAGAGTTGGGTAGTAACTGAATTTTTTGTGCATATTAGGCTGTGTCAGTTCATCGAGATATTTCGAGTTCAAGATATGACGTCAGAGGTCTGGAGGTACAACAAACAGACGACACAATATTATTCTTACGGGGAAGAAAATTTGTTTCCACTTTCATCAATTTTATTCATACTTTAAACACGGAAAACGCTTGTTGACATATAATAAAATTAAAATGTGTTTTGATAATTAATTTTGTTATATATTTGATTCATTTGCATTGATAGATTCTCTGAATTCGTGATAAAATATAAATATTGAGGTTAGAAAAGTTTGTTTACTAATCACATTTTACATTTTAACATTATTAAACAATATCCAGTATGCATATTATTAAAAAAGATATAAAATATATATTTTAAGTGGGAATTACCGCAGCAGTAAAAGATTTCAAGTCAAACTTATTTTAATTATAAATTAATTGCTATCAATGTATAGGGTATTCATTATATTTTGTTACCGCAATGTCTCATCCAAATTGAGATTACAATCGGATCTCAATTAATTCACTGAATTTACTTTATATCATTGTGCATGGGTGTCACGTAATCATTTCCATGATCTTGAGTTCCTATAGGTACAACAAAACATGTGTGTCCATTTATAATGAGACAAAGTGGGGGTTTCATGAAGATCTCATCCCCCTTGATTCTCATGAACGAACAATGACATCAAAAGTAGGAGATTTTCTGGTATAAAAGCATTTGTGAGACACAAAGTCTGCATTCAACATTATTTTCACTTTCACATAGAATATAATTTATTTTAGTGACATTAATTCATTGAAATACGGTTAATTATTTAGTTTTTGTGTTTATAAAGATACTTTACAACAAAACTTTTAAAAAAATATAATTATGTGGTTTCTTTTATCTCTGATTATTTTAGTGACAGCATTATTAAAGGATGTATATACTTTCCCAGAACCTGGTAAAATTTATTGAATTGATATTTTATTCACGGATTTTTTTTTCACTAAAAATGTACGTTGTTTTGTTTCTAATTTTCATTTCAAAAAATGTTTTTTTTTGCAAAATAATAAAAATATACTAAAAAAATTGTGTGCTAATTATAAATACAATAATACTATTTATTTATTCGGAACACGTACCATTTAATAAGTTAAAAAGTCACAATACTCATCAATCTTTTTTTTGTAAACGGTAATATGAAAAAAATTATGTGCATCTTTACTATAAATATGAGTTACGTTGATCTTTCATTTTCATTACAAAAATGTTATACTAGCAATTATGGATCCCTATGGAAATCCACTAATGTTTATGAGAGAGAAAAGAACTTCAATCAGTGCCTATCCTCATAGAACAATGATGTTTACTGGCTATTATAGACCAATTCGACGATCTAACGGTGATCAAGCAACTGCGGTTTTCGCTCAAGGAAATTCTATTAAAGCTGGAACTTATCTGAAAGGTGATTTTCAACCAAATTATTTAAAACCAGGTCCAGAACCTATTAATGAAACAGAACAATCAAACACGAATGGTGAACCTGTTTCTCAATTAGATGAAAATTTAAGTTTATTGAATCATCAAGATCAAGAAACCCGAAATCCATTTCAAGATGAACCGCAGGTATTTGATATTTTGTAGTAAATTATTATTATTATTATTATAAAAATACTCGATATGAAAAGTAAAATTTTTTTTTTAGTTAAATACAGAATCATATAGAGAAACAACAATTTCTACTGAAGAAACATCTCATACGGAAGTTCCATTGAAGAAAAATGATACAAAGAAAGGGAAGAAAATTATTCGACCAGTGAAAGAAGAAGATGAAGAGGAATATGAAGATGATGATGATGATGATTTAGAAGAAACTATTCCTTTTGTTCCAATGAAAGGAAAACGTCGTTATCCTTTTCTCAATCGTCATATTTTTTTTCCAATGATGTTTGGATATCCATTAGGAGCAACACGATCTGATTCTTCAGGATCTTCCGGTTCTGTCACTGCCATTGCCAACAGTTATTCCACAGGCAAAGGAGGTGTTGCAAATTCTGTTGCCACTGCCTATGGAGGATCGCCTCAGTAAGGAAATTATTTTTATTTCATTTACATTACACTTAAAATATAATATAAATTATAATAAAAAAATATAAATGGTCAGTTTTGCTTGAAACTTGTTACTCGGTGGTTTTTGGGGTTGCTCATTACGAATATGACGTCAGATTTCCAAAATTTAAAATGACGAATCTAACATGGCGGACTCTATATATATATTAAATTTGACTATTTTTAAAAAAATTTCCGCCATTTTGAATTTTAAAAAAATTTCTAAAATTAACATCATATCGCCACTAGTTTCATATATAATTCGTTAAATTTTTTATTTTGTCGTCCTCCATATTGGATCCACCATTTTTAATTTTAAAAATATTGCAAATATGACATTAGGTTCGTAATCAGCGATCCCAACCCCCCCCCCACCCCTAGCAACAAGTTTTATGTAAAATCAAATAATTTTTTAATTTTTTTGTCCGCCATTTTGAATGTTTAAAAACTGACATTGGATTCGTAATTTGCGACCTCAAAAACCTCTAACTAATGATATTTTGTAAGATTATCTGTGCTTTCTGAATTTATTTTTTAATAATATTAAATTTTCTTATAATGTGGGAGATGTGTCTTTTCACCAAAAATTATTTTTTTAAAATAGTTCCATGTATTTTTTCGTCTTAAAACTAATGGGATATTATTTCTACTAACACCCAAAGGGATTATTTGAGGTGATGTTTTCCCTTAAAGGAATTTTCAATAGAATTCCTCCTTTCTGATTTTACTGTATTTCTTTTTTTCTTGATTTTTTCTAAAAATTCTTTTTCATTTGCATATAGGAAAAAATCGAGGCATCCACCAACAGCTGAAGATTGATAAAAGTGCACTACGCTTTTTATATAGATTCATTGACTCTTAATATTATTGTATTAATCTAAAAATATAATTAATTTTTTAAAAAAGAAAATTATTCAATAATAATTGAATTAAAATTGTTCTTAATATATCGCTTTATACTTTGTGACATTTTTGCGAATCTAAACTTGTTATTTTAAAATAAATCATCAATTGTTTATAAAAATTTATACAAACCAAAATTATTATTTTTTATTTTGAAATTGTCAGTACTACGCCAATAGTAAATTTTTGATTGGGTACATATTTTCGTAAAATCAACTATTACTTATTAACTTCTTAAAAATAGTTACATTAACTACATGAACATAATTAGATTAACTATAAAAAAGTAGTTATTTTAACTACTTTCTAGTCAACTACCCAATAGTAGTTGAATTTCTCGGCAACATTTTTTTTCAGTGTTGATTTCTATTTAAGAATTTATTATAATTTTAATGAAAACCCATAATATATTATATTAAGGAAATCGATAAACTGATTTTTCAGGCAATGTTGATGCAGCAACCGCAGTAATATTACAACGAAAATATCCGCTAGATGAATTTTCTGACCCTTCATAAACAATCGTAATTTCATTTTTTATTGATTTTCTTCTAAAGGTCCCATTACCATAAAAAAAACTAGGAATATTTAAAAGACTGCTAGGATTTTTGAACACAGCAAAAGTTTGAGAGTCACATAATTGCTGTAAAAAAAACAATTATTAAAAATAATTATGAATGCAACAAATGATATACAGAAATCAAACAATCCTCATAACAAAAGGATATCCCTAGGATATCCATACGATATCCATATCAATGGTCGATATCCTAGAATGGTCCCCAGGATATCTTGGGATATCCCTAGGATATCCAAACCGCCGGTCTGTGGGACATCAACAGGATATCCCTAAGACATCCTCAAAATATCTATTGGGTATTATATCGCAGGATATCCATGGGATTTCATCAGGATGTCCGTGGGATATTCTTAGGATATTCACGGGATATTTAATATCTCAACATATATTTTTAAAGGTTAAAATTGTTAAGCTAATATAATGAATAATAATATAATAAAAACAAAAATCTTATGAGCTTCTAATTTATTTTAAATGAAGATTTGAAACGCATTTTTCAAAGTTTTTAAATAAACTCATGCACTTAATGTATAATTAATATTAATAGTTATTCGTTATTTGCGGGGAAGAATTTATATTGTTTAAAGCCAATTTATTTTCTGACAATATCAAGCATATGAATAAAGGAATGAATCACGAATGAGAAAAAAATTAGTTAATAATTTTTCAAATTAAACAACTTTCTCGAAAAACAAGTTGCATTTTATTTTATTTATATAAAATTTAATTCACAGAATATTCTCACTCGTAGTCTCATAATGCCTTTAAAAACAGTATCCTGAGAATATCTTCTTGACATCCAGAAGATATACTGAGAATATCCTGAAAATATTTGTGGGATATCCTGACGATATCTATGGGATATCCTGATGATATCTGTGGGATATCCTGACGATATCTATGGGATATCTGGAGGACATTTATGAAATTCTATAGAGATATCCAGAAGATATCCATGGGATATCCAAACCGCCGATTTTTTGGATATCCTTAAGATATCCTTTTGATATCCATAGGACATCCCTAGGATATCTGCGGGATATTATCAATATATCCCAAGATATCTTGTGTTATTAGGGAAGTATATAAATACTTGTTTTTACAAAAAATTTAATTTATCATTATATATATAATATTTAATTATGTATTGAATATATTTAAACTCACTGAAGTAGGCAAGCCTAATTTACACTTTAGTTGAAGTCTATTGTCTTCATTGGTGTTTGCTGAATAGATGCATTTAAATTTTCCAGAATCCCAACCTGGATAGTTAGGATTATGTATATTCATATATTCTCCAATAGATAGTGATCGATTTAGATTGCAATCCTCGCTTCTACTCTCTTTTATTAAAAAAAGAGCAATCACTAAAAAGTGAGAAATTTTTTGAAAAAAAGAACAATTAAATTCTAATTTTTCTTTCGAAAAAATATTCAATATTATATATTGAGAAAAAGAATTACTAAAATCAACAAATATACATATTTAACATTACCAAATAAATGTGAAGAAATTCTTGTAAATTTATTTATAAACATTTTTTAATTATTTATGACTTCCTTGTAGTGAATTAAAAAAACTTTTTTATTTTCGAAAACAAATTATCCAATACAAAAATAAAAATAAAATAAAGAATATTTTTTTTTATTAAAAAATAATTATTAACTCTTGTATTTTATTACTGTAATTATATATACCCTATTTTAAGATTATTGTTCGATCATGTTTTTTTATAGTCTCGCTGTTTTGTTTGTTGAATACTTGTGGTGGGACAAAAGAAGAAATTACAATATTTAAAAATATCGTTTTATCAAATATTAAACAAATACAATAACATTATTAGTTTCAAAAAAGCTATAATAACTACATATATTTATATCTAAATAAATATTTAGAAAGATGTTTTTTTCTTTCGTCCAAACTCAAATTTTTATATAAAGGTCATAAATTAATATATAAAAAAAAATTTAATACATGTGCGACCTACACAGTTAAAATAAGGGACCTTATAATTACTTTCGAAAAAATCGATTTTTATTTTTTCGATGATTTCATATAGAAAAAAAAGTACATTCTTTTGAATGCAAGTTGCAAAAAAAAACAATTTTTTCGGACGTAAGGTTCCTTTTAACTATTCAAGTCACACATCCCTAATAACACAAGGTATCTTGGGATATATTGATATTATCCCGCAGATATCCTAGGGATGTCCTATGGATATCAAAAGGATCTCTTAAGGATATCCAAAAAATCAGCGGTTTGGATATCCTTTGGATATCCAAAAAATCAGCGGTTTGGATATCCTTTGGATATCCCATGGATATCTGAGGATATCCTCAGGATATCTTCTGGATATCGTCAGGATATCCCATAGATATTTTCAGGATATTCTCAATATATCTTCTGGATGTCAAGAAGATATTCTCAGGATACTGTTTTTAAAGTCATTATGAGACTACAAGTGAGAATATTCTGTGAATTAAATTTTATATAAATAAAATAAAATGCAACTTGTTTTTCGAGAAAGTTGTTTAATTTGAAAAATTATTAACTAATTTTTTTCTCATTCGTGATTGATTCCTTTATTCATATGCTTAATATTGTCAGAAAATAAATTGGCTTTAAACAATATAAATTCTTCCCCGCAAATAACGAATAACTATTAATATTAATTATACATTAAGTGCATGAGTTTATTTAAAAACTTTGAAAAATGCGTTTCAAATCTTCATTTAAAATAAATTAGAAGCTCATAAGATTTTTGTTTTTATTATATTATTATTCATTATATTAGCTTAACAATTTTAACCTTTAAAAATATATGTTGTGATATTAAATATCCCGTGAATATCCTAAGAATATCCCACGGACATCCTGAGGATATCTCATGGATATCCTGCGATATAATATCCAATAGATATTTTGTGGATGTCTTAGGGATATCCTGTGGATATACTATGGATGTCCTGTTGATGTCCCACAGACCGGCGGTTTGGATATCCTAGGGATATCCTTTTGTTATGAGGGATGTATAATTTTTGGAATTTTAAGAATCAATTTAAAAATTAATTGTAAATTATCTGTTTCTCTTCGATTGTTGAATAATGTTAAGCAAAAAATTATTTTTTTTTTAAATAGCAATTGTTTATAAACAAATTAATATTTCTTTTAACTTTGGACCCGATTTATGTACTTTTTGTTTATTTTTACATACCTGGAAATATTAAGAATATTTTTCAAAAAAATTTTAGAGTGAGTTCAATCATCCTATTTGTTTAAATAATTTAAAAAAATAAAATTTTTCTTGTTTTTTTATTTTTCAAAATAAAAAAAGCTTTTCGACCACTAGAATTTTTTACTTTACTCGCATAGAAAAGCAAACTAAAATATATTTTATTTTGAAAAAAAAAACGAAAAATGAAAAATAAATTTTTTTTTAAACAAATTATTTAAACAAAAAGAATTATTAGGCCCATTTTAAAAACTTTTTGCAAAATATTCTTAATATTTCCAGATATTGGTAAAAATACAAAAAAAAGTAAAAAAATAAATCAGGCCTAAAGTTAAAAAAAAAAAAAAAAAAATTGGTTTTTAAAAAAAATGCGTTATATGATACTGTCTCAAAAATTCAACATTTTTTTAATTGAAAAATCGATGAAAAACTAAATCTTTCTTTTATTTTTGCAATAAAATTTCTAAATTTTTAGAGTTAGTAATTGTCATTAGAAATTAGTTCCACTTTTAAAATACCTCGAAAAATGCTAGATTTAAAAAAAAAATCATAACTAGAAAATTTGGGCACTTAAAAAAAATTTTAAAATACATAATATAAAATTTTTTATTTTTTTTATTCATTTGGAAATTATTTTTTCTTTTCTCTTAATATTACTGACAATATTTTAATTGTGTATCATTAACTTCAAATGAATTCAATGTGGAGTAGCCATAACGCTGCATGCAAAATTTCCCTCTTCTCCTCTGTACAACATTTGATAAAATAATTTCATTTTATTTGTTGCTGATACTGCGGTAAATTTTTTATTTCCACAATGAGGTACAGGTGGTTTAGATAAATTTGTTTGAACAATAACTTTGTGATGAAAGCAGTTGTCCTGAAAAATAAAAATATAATTAAAAAAAAAATCTAAGAAATTTGATTTTTACATAAATTTTTGTTTAAGAATAAAAACTCTCTATTAGTAAAATATAACTAAAAAAAACCAAATTTTCGTTGAATCAATCAAACGTTTATTTCGCCTATATAATCAAATTATTTCAATGTTCGATAAATTTATTAAATTAAACCAAAAGTTTATTTAGATTAATTTAATATTTATTTAAAGCAAACAAATTTTGTTTTGAAATCATAAAAAAATTGCGTTTATAATACAAAAAACTTGTATATATTTGGTTCAAACAAAATTTTTCTCTGCTAGTGTAATATTGTAGAAATAAATTGTAAAACATTGAGAAACGTTTGGTTATGATCTGAAGTTGATTTGAGCTTATGTTCAGAAAAAAAACTATATTTTAAATATTTTTCTAACAAATGTATAATTATATATATATTACCGGATCGTTAGGTAAATTTAATGTACAGTTCAGGAAAACATGATAATTTTCAGGAGCTCCTAAATCCCATTCGTAATTATGTTCTTCATCAACGCTGTTTTGTGGATAATCTGGATTATACAAATAATAAACTTGATATGGTTCTAGCTCTTGGGGAATTAAACAATTTAAACAACCGGCCTTATTCTCTTTTATAAGACAAGCAATAAGTAATATAGACAACATTCCTGCAAAAAAACAAAAACAATTTTTTTTTTTTTTAATAAAAAATATATATTTATAAGATAATATTATTATTAATTATTATAACTATATTATTTTCATAATTTTTAAATAAGAAAATTAATAATTACCTAAGGAATTAAAAATTCCTTTTGATGAGCGATTTATAAACATTTTGTTTTGCAGTTATTAAAATTTTCAGAAATAGTTTACTGTGCTATTAAATATAGTCACTATATTCTCTGATGTGTGATTTTCATTTTCATCGTCTCCTTTTATATACATATATCGTTATGCATATTTTATTAGCAAAGTGTAAACAATTTAAATATATAACAATTAATATATTAAATTTGAAATAATTTTATCTTTTATATTTGTATGGAATTATAATTTATATTTCGTATCATTTTTAAGTCGTAATTTTTTTTTTCAATACTTATGTATATGTATAAATTAGTATCTAAAATTGTATTATTTCTAACACGTAAAATTGTATTTATAAGCATATAATAGAAAAGTATTTTTCATATATCTCTGGCAACTTTTACTTGAAGAAAAAAACCTTACACTATTTATTTTGATATTTTTTCTAATAAAAATAATAATTTTTATTTCTATAATTGCAATAATAATGATATATTAATAATAATAATGATAATAATAATAATAATAATAATAATAATATTAATAATAAATAATTGAAAAATTTTAAAAATTAAAGTGTGTTACACGTGTATGTAAATAAGTGTCTAAAATTATTTCATTATGTAAATTATAATGCGAAATAAATTTACACTATTTGCTATAATAATATTTATGGAAAATTAAAATAAAGACAAAATAATTTATTTAAATTTCAAATTCTTATTTATTACAATGAAACATTTGATTAAATACTAAATAATTAATTTTGTAAATTTTTTTCAACAACCAGAATAAATTCGCCCGTGAATTTTGTTATTATATAAATTTTTTTAATTGAATATTTTTTTATAATAAAACAGTAGTCTGGTTATTGAGAAAAAATGAAAAATAACTGAATATAGGGTCAGTTGGAGTAAATTGGGGACAAAATCGCTATTTTTCACAAATTACGTAATTTTCTTCCTTTAAAAGGTAATATTTGCGGGTTTATTTTTTTTTTTAAGTTGTTATTTACATTCCCAGGATTAATTTTATGCAGCAGAAAAAAATTTATATAAACTTTAAACGCATGAAACTGACTGTACCCATTTACCCCCAAAATTTAGAAAATTTCATAAAATTTGGGGTAAATGGGGACAGCATAGTTTCTAAGAAAGTTTTAAGAAAAAAGTTTCCTTAGGTATATTACTGTATTAAGGGATGAAAAAACTTGAAAAAAAATTTGTAGTAGATATATAATAGTTGAACCAATTGAAATTTTTTTATTTATTTTTTTTTTTATTTCAGTATTTTGTCTCTCATTTCAAAGAAAACTGACTTAAAAATCATACCAAATTTTTTTTCTTATTCCTTATGACTCCCATAATAGAAATTCACTTGAATTTTTGATTTTTATTAATTTGGTTAATAATAACAAGCTGTCCTCATTTACCCCAAAAATTTGAAAACTCAGGGTAAATGGAGACAGCTTGCCATTATTAACCAAATTGACAAAAATCAAAAATTCAAGTGAATTTCTGTTATAGGAGTCATAAGGAATAAGAAAAAAATTTGGTATGATTTTTAAGTCAGTTTTTTTTAGAAATGTGAGACAAAATACTAAAACAGTTTGATTTTCAAGTTTTTCTGCATTGAGCGATAACTTTTTTTATCTTGCTGCCAATTGTCAAGATAAAAGCTTGGCAATACTCAAAACCTCTTACAGATGATCTGAGAATCCGAAGTCCGTTTTGCTCCATCACGTCAGGATTTTTTTCTAACCTCCAAAAACCTGACGGATTTTGAGAGGTAGGCTATTTTTTAAAAAAATTGATGGATTTACTTCAAACTTGGAATCAAGGGGTTTTTTTGGGTCGCTGATGACGAATTTAAAGTTAGATTGTCAAAATTCAAAATGGCGGCTCCAATATGGCGGACGAATTTTGTAAATATTGATGGATTTACTTCAAACTTGGTATCTAGGAGTTTTTTGGGTCGCTGATGACGAATTTAAAGTTTGATTTTCAAAATTTAAAATGGCGGCTCCAATATGGCCCCAATTCTAATAGCGCATTCAACAGAAATGAAAGAAAACTATGAATATATGAAACTAGTTTTGGATAAAATTAGATACCGAGAACACAACTGGCAAATTTGTGGAGATTTCAAGATTTTAAGCATACTACTTGGACAACAATCAGGTTTTACAAAAACACCATGTTTCCTGTGTTTGTGGGACAGTAGAGATCGAGCAAATCACTACATTAAAAAACAATGGCCAAAAAGGAATTCTTTCGAACCAGGTTCAAAAAATATAATAGAAAATCCTCTAATCGACCCTTCAATGGTGATAATTCCACCCTTACACACGAAACTAGGAGCAATTAAACAGTTTGTCAAAGCCTTAGATAAAAAAGGAAACTGTTTCAAATACCTGGAACAAAAGTTTCCAGAAATCTCTGATGCGAAACTAAAAGAAGGGGTTTTCGACGGACCACGTATTCGCGAATTGTTAAAAGATGAGCAATTTATCACCAAAATACATAGGAAATGACTAGTCTGGTCTGCCGCGCACGACACTTTTTTTTTGTGGGGCTGTGTAATTGAGATTAATCGGATTTTTCAATTTTTTTTTCATTTAATTTACGCTTACATTTTATTTACTATTTTAAAAAAGAAAATTTTATATTAAACAATTCAATTCACAGAAAAAACTTGGACTCATTTTTGTTGCAACTCATTTTCTTTTGGGTATCGAAATGAGTATGGGACAAACTTCATGTTATTCAAAATGATATTGGCTGGAATTTCAGATTTCTAAGTTGGCATCATAAGCAGAGTAATTTTGTATTTCAATTATTGTTTCTAATATTTCAACAACACCAGAAAGATTATTTTGACCAGTACGAATATTTAGAAGTTTTTAAATAAAAATTATTTATTATTATTTACGTAGATAATAATTAATTTCATAAGTTTTTAAATTTACCGCTATTATTTAAGTTGGCAGTACCGTTCCTGTTGTCAAAACACATGTTTTCATTTTTCTAACCTAAAAACATATTTCCTTTATTATTTTATTACGCGATTACAAGCAATTTTTAATCAAATATATTAAGTCTAGCGTGTTATTTACTTCTTTGTAATTATTATATTTCATGTTTTTGTGCAAAATTATTCGTTATTTCACAATATTTTTCCATTTTTCTTTTTCTCAAAATGAAACTTGCCTGTTTCATTTTGATACTTTTACCTTAGAACTCGAAATGAGACAACCAGTTTCATTTTTGTTGGGAATCAAATTGAGTATAGAATCTATACTCAATTTGAATTCAGGTTTTTTCTGTGTTGCAAAATTATAAAAAACAATAATAAAAAAACTAATCCTAATTTTTTTATAGTGAAAAGAGTATAACTATTATTAAATAGTTAAATTAAGTAAAATATATAATATAAATTAAGATTTTTACAATTGTAGTTCATATAGACAATTACGTCTTAGGTCTTAGGTTAGGTATAGGGTCATGGGTTTGATCCTCGTGGGTGGTAAATTTTAATTTAATTTTTGAAATTTAATATTAGATATGTGCAAGTGTATTGAGTTAATAAGAATTGTGGATAATATTAATTTTTATTGTATGTGCAATTTTTTTTAAGTTCAGAAATATAACGAATTGTTCTTACACTGAAAGAAATTTCATAGGAAAAAATAACAAAATGCGTATTACATTTTAATATATTCTTTTAGAATTTAGGGAAAAGTGTACTTTTTATTAAAATTCAATATACTTTATATTAAAGTTCCAACTTAAAATCTTTTTTCAAATATTAATAATTATTGTAGAAAGAACGTAAAAAGATTACCAATATTTGAAAATATTATATTAAATTCTCATAGAGTTGTTGCATTATATGGAATGTAGCGTTCTAATATTTGTAAAACTTTATACGAAAAATTCAGAATGTCGGAAGAAAAGGGAAAAAAAGTGGAAACTCGGACGTTTCCGTTAATTCTCGGGAGGAAGAGGAGTGAGACTAGGAACAACACATTCACACTTACGATACAGGTTAACACACATACTAATGAACACGCACGTTCATTTCGCTTATACATAGACATTACACGATCGCAACGAAACCTACACTTACAATTCTATACGCATAACGATAAATTTCGCTGGGGGTCGGCATATATCGATTTCTTATATACTAACTACTGAATATTTTTACCACTTGCGAGAAAGAAGTTTACTTATAATAACTTAATAATAAAAAATAGTTTACTGGTGCCAATGGTGTAATTTTATAGAGGTTACGCTGGGTTCATTTTTATTATTAATTGTTTATATAGATTTTTCTTTTTTTTCAGATTAAAAATTATGATTGTTATAAAAATTTTTATTGCAAATAAAAATCAAATAATTGTAAAGATGACATCAAAAAATAATAATTAATAAAAATAATAATAAATTTAATAATTATAAATGTTTTCTGTGGCACTATAAACATTTGAAACACGTGTGTTGACAGTTGATAGGTACGTTCTGCTGGTTAACAACACTTTCGAAAATCGGATCAAGTCGTAGAAGTTCGAGTAGGACACGAAGCCGCAAACAGACAGAACTTCGGTTAAATTCGTAGTCTCTCGGGAAAATCCGTGACTTTTAATATAAAGTTTTACAAAATGTGAAATAAGTATACGGATATATGTTATTTTTCTTACTATTTTGTGAAATTATTTATTATAATATTTCGTATTCTGTGAATTCATAAAGAAAATACTAATTTTTAAAATAAATATACTAATTTTTATTTCTTAAAATAATAGTTACTCTTAAATTCATTATATATTTTCATAAAAACTGTAATAGTAATCAGTATAGGTGCACTTTTTCCCTAAATTGTAACATTTATATTAAACTCTAATATGAGTTTAATACTTAGTAGTATGAATTTTCTTTCAGTGTATAAATTAAATCAATTAAATTTAATAGAAAATACTGGTCATCTGTCCAGCGCCAGGTCAGACCGTCTGGCCAGCGTCTGACTGCTTCTAGCGTTACACTTTTGGCCAGCCGCTGGCTAGAGTTTTTGGGCAGCTGCTAGTCTGGAAACTAGACGGGTCTGGCTAGAATTAGGCCAGCCCCAGAAAATTTTTCTGCAAG